CAAGCATAATTCTGACTTTCCTGTTATCACTTTGATGGCATGCAACTTTTTTGACAATACCTGCTACTTCGGTGTCTGTCGAGCGTCTATTCTCAGGTTCACGTCATGTATGTCGCGATTCTCGTTCCTCGCTCAAGGCATCAACAATTACTAAGGTTATGTGTACGAAAAAATGGTTGGAGGATCCTGACTTGTTCTTCCAAACTGTTATAAAGACTAGATAGTGTAATGTAAACTGTTTATAATCGAATACTATACACGGTTTATTCAAATACAACTTTTTCTGTTTAAATTTACGCTAGGGTGTATACGTAAACTAAATGGTTGGAGCCCTACCGGGTACCAGTGTTTATAATGAGGTGAAGATACCCACCAAGTGCTCACTTTCGTACAAAACAAACTTGAGTTGAATTTATATCCCGCACCCACCAACACCAGCAACCTAAAAAGCGGAACATGCTGTATTTGGTAGTCATATCCCTACGCCGCCCCGCGAACGTTTGGTCGAAAAAGTACAGTAGTTTCTAACAAAGTGAACAACAGGCTCTCACACCGCTACAGCATATCAGAATTTTCCTGAAGGCTTAGCTGAGGACAAAAACGTAGGATGGATAATTGCACGTATAACCACCAAAGTATCCAAGAAAGTATCAGTACGTAGTTGTTCTACCGCGTTCGGGGTTTGTGCGGAACGAGCACCGCACGTTAAGATCAAAAAGGAAATGCCTATCATATCATAAGGTCAAACAAAGGTCAACAAAGCTTACCATAATTGTGAAGATACAAGTTACTACTATACCAAACTAACGAAACAGAAGCGGGGTTAAGGCTACAAACCATAACAACAGATCTGTAACCTACTCTGACCCGTAATCATGATGAGGTAGTGGACATTCCTGCACTACACTCGCACGGTCCTATAGGTTGTCAATATTTGGGCGGGGAAATCTTTAGCAATGGGTTATAATTGAAAGGGCGGAGTCTCTTCAGAGACACGGACAGGTGATCACCCTGTCAACTGATTATAGACGTGTTACAGAAGACATAGCCAGGTCAGATCAACGCACCTCCGAGCCGGATTCACCCCTCTTGCGCTTCCCGACTGCGTCGGACTCATCTCCGGCGCCTTCCTGATATATACTGTTATCGGCCCGCGACGGGTGTCCACTGCGACCGTTTGAGGCTGAATCCCGGCCTTCAACACGATCCAATCCCTCCTCTACCCGCAAAAGGACAGATAGCGCGCGGTGGGTGAGCTGGTCTTCCTCGCCTAGTGAAGTGAGGAGGGCTGTGATGGATGGAGCATCAACATGTTCATCTATGTCGATGCCATGTTGGTTCCGAAGATGCATTCGAATCGAGAACAGCAGGTCAGAGAACTTGCTTCCCCAGCGACGTGCGGCATGGATTGAAGGCTTGAGGGATGACGTTTCCAGATCGCACTCGTCTTTAGCGTGGTCCACCCGGGCCTTGCTGTCCTCCTCAGCTGTGCTACCGCCTTCCTTGCCGTCCCCATCTGCGTGACTCTGATCCTCCATCTCAGCGTCAGCCTCTCCCTGACTCTCGACCTCGATTATAGAGTCAGACGGGTCCCCATCTGTGTCATCCTTGTCATCCTGCTTCCCTTTGCCAAGAAGTACCTTGCTCGGAGATCCGGGACCCTCGGCGCCAGCGTCTGTCCGATAACGACGTGTAGCTTCCTCTTCCTCGTGTACGATGACCTTGACCAACCGATTCACTGTATCCGGAATGACGATAGGGGAATCACCCATTTTGACGGTACCTCCTCCCCCGGTTGTGTCACAGGGGTCGTCAGTACGCTGCTGGACATACTCGACCCAGTCAACTGGGATAGACGATGTTCATCAGCCACTAGAAACAAGAAATGCGATGAGAATGGATCGAGATCAGTGCTTACTGGATTGGAATACGTCCGGCTTCCGGTCGTAATAGACGTAGTTGAAGTCTACGTTGCAATCTTTGAGGAGATTGTCCCGCTCTCGCATGCCGTATTGCCCGTATTTGACCTCAAGCCAGAGGTGGTACTCGAAAGAGGGGCACCGCCAATCATTTACATCCTTCGCACCTTCCTTCCTCCGATGATGAGCAGAGCCAACATACGCCTCTCGAACGTCATGTAGATACTTGATGTAACGGAACAAATGATTGAGAGCATCCAATGTGTCAACCTCGCTTTTCTCTGATAGATTTTTCAGCACAAGCTTGAACACCTCATACTTGTAGCTAAGTATGCACAGTGCCTGGTGGTACTTCGGGGGCGCAAACGCGGAGACAACACCAGTCAAGTCAGGTCCTGTGAGACGGAGTAAGTTATGTTCCGTGTTGACGTAGCTTCGCCTGCTGAGAAGGATTCCGTGCAGCTGAGAGGGGACTGTGGTAGAAGGATAGGGGATAGCTGTAGAGCGCACCATGGAACTTGCCAGCTCGTCGCGAACGAAGCATGCACCTGGGGCTACTTTCACCCCTCGGAAGTGCACCAAGCAATTTTTTAGAGTTTGCTTCACCAAACAGAGCCAAAGTCGGTTTGGGGGATTTGGTCCTCTCATGACCGCCCACAGATATGTCATTTCTCGCGCTCCGCTCATCTCGTAGCCTTCTGCATGTGTGTATTATAAAAAATGTATAAAAAGCACGCAGAGAGATGAGCTCTTTGGTTTGTACAGAGGTAACGGGGCATTGTTATACTTGCATTATATCAACTACGCCTGATGAAGTTCCCGATGCGCGTGAACGGGCGGAGATTAAACTAGTTTTCCTAACAGCGTATCCGGGTCGTGTGAGGGTGCCCTGGGTCAGGCCGGCCTTGACACCTGAGGCACCGGTGAATCGGACGGCTGAGAAGATCCTTAGAACGATGCATTGAGCGATTGTAAATCTTATAAACACTGTTTAACCCGTGCAGAGGGATAATAAGGGTTTAAATAGATATTTATATCTCCAAGGCGATCAGAGGCTAAGGAAAAGATTTAAGATATGTCAGCAATGGCGACTCAAAACAATTGAATGCATCGTTGCTATGGCAAGATTTATAACATTTATGACGGATCGAAGCGGTGAGAAGATTGTAAATAGAAACTTGAACCGTATGTGTATGAAGAGGATAAAAACGACCCTTGGCGGGCCAATCAGAAACCTTGAACAGGCGGACGATTTTAAATCGTTGCAACAATATAGAAGGTGTTCCTAGGAAAAATGACACAGCATCGCAGATTTATAGAAAGTTTTAAAATTCATCCCCGCATCGATGACCACAAAAGATCCTTTCGGATCTATTCAAAATCAATAGAGCCGCTGGGTTTAAAGTCTTTGTTACCATCTTCCGTCCCCGTCCACTGTAAAAGTGATTCAAAACCTTTTATTATCTCGAGTGCCTGGTAATATTTTTCAAGATACGTAAAATCTTCCGCAGGATCTTTCTAACAATCTCCTCGCGTGTCCGATTTGCCGGTGCCTCAGGTGTGAGTACGTGTCCTCATGTATCGGTATGGAATCGGTTGCTCGCTGACCCGCTCCTCTCGGCTAAAGTCTGTGACAGATCCACGGCCATCCGTAATGCTTACCGCGCTTTGCAATAAAACGCGGAATCGCGCCGTTGTCCAGGTCGGACCCAGAAGCGATGTATTGTTCCCATGCTCATGCAGATGCTCGCTCGCACTGTTCACACGCGACACGATACCGCCCTTGCACCCCCAATGCAACACGGCACCCTCAATGCAACAGGGCGTGTTTTCCCTTTTGTTCACGCTACAGTTTGTTTTGGGCTGGGGAAACACATCTATACAAGCCTACAGGTCAATATATGATACAGTTTTCTAAGAAACAGGTCAGGGAGAGCGCATTCAACGCATGTTGCATTGAGGGTGCCATGTTGCATTGGGGTGCAAGGGCGGTACAAGTCGCGTGTCGCGTGTTACAGTAGGGAACTCAAATACCGCATTGTTATCAGGTACAATAGGGCAGCAGGCAAATTGGAATTGACCTCCACTGCCAAGTGCCAATCCTTCCCTGTTGAATGCACCAAGTCCCCGCTACTAGTTCACGGGCTCTCTCCGGGAAGTTCCGACACGCGGCCTCATCCAACGTTGCGATTCCGCGTTTTATTGCAAAGCGCAGTAAATTTCCAAAATCGATTATACCTAATCAGGCTTACGGGAGCAAAATGTTAGATCAGATGGAACAACTAGAGTCCCTGCGGTTTTTGAAGTGACTTCCGAGAACTTGAAATAACGTGTGTTTGGACAGTCCAGCGCGCCGGTCGAGTAGCTGTACCCCTGATGTAACACGGCACCCTCAATGCAACAGGGTATGTTTGCTTGTTTAGTCACGCTAAAGTTTCTTATGGGCTGGTGCAACGCGTGTATACAAGCCCACATGTTAATATTAATATATGACACAGTTTTCGAAGAAAAAGACCAGCGAGAGCGCATTCAGTGCATATATTGCATCGTGGGTGCAAGGGCGGTACACACACTCTCACCCTCGCTAGCCACCATCCCGACTGGCACAGATCTCGTCACCAATATGATAAATGGTACACACGAGGCTTCAACAACTTCACCGGAACTTCCAGCAACCATATAGACCCCATCGCTGCGGAGCTTCCCGGATGGGCCGGGATGGCCAGCAATGCTTCAACCAGACCAGCGTCCGCGTTTCAAACACACTTCCCGATCCTTCACTAGCTTCACTCAGAGCCAAACAACACGGCCGAGGCCAAGGAAGCGGGTATCTGAGCCGCGCGCAATGGCTTTCAGAACGTCAGCATACCCTTCCTAGCGATGGGGAATTGGATGAGGGCGAGTCCTCAGGAGGTGCGGGAGGGTTAAGCACAGCCTTAACCGTGCCTGAGTGTCGTTCAGGAAGATGCCAAAGTAGTTGGGGAAATCATGGCAGAGAACCCGAAGGTCGGTGGGAGGCATTCTTATCTTCTCCGTCCGTGGGAATTAACTGCTAATACATAACGCTGATAATTACTCGTATATTCAAAATTATGCCCGGCTTGGCATTGTACATGTTTGGCTGTGTGGCTGGGGCATATCTCGCGTTAGTGCTCGGTATTTGTATACGATGTAGGGCTCTGGACTGCATGACAGATGTCCACGGGCACTGTGTCTCCTCGTGTTCGAGTTTTCCTTTCCAGTGCAATGGGATGGCGACTCTCAACGAGCAGCATCGTAGGACAAGATCCTTAAGTGCCGTAGCGCAGCGAGGCTGCCTTGTTGCCGATAACGCATGCGGTTGTGGGGTTTTTTTGTTGATCCTATGCATATCAGCATTTCAAATGTACTCCGGGGCCCTAGTAGCACAAAGTGCAAGACGATGCCAGGTAATACTCAAGTGCGTTTCTCTCTATGCCATCTATTGCCTTGACCAATCCGTTTCGAGGGTCGTGTCACAATCGGCAGGAGCGGCGCCGACGCAAGACCTGGGTATTCTATGGAAAGGATTGCCTATTGAGATATGTATAGACGACTGAATACACGGAGACGCACTTGGGAGTTCGACGGAAAGGACGAAGAACATCCGGGGTGCGATGCGTGAGGATAATCAAACGCTGACAAAGATACTGACTGACTCACGTGCGAGGTGCTTCACTACTGCTACGCCGGCGTTCTACCGTGTCGCCGACAGCTGCTTATGGTGTCGCTCATTATCACGTTGCATTTACATCTACAGTCATTTGCATTCCAACCCGGAAAACGCGCGTCTCGCGGTGTGTTTGTTCTGGACAAAGCTTCGCCATATATGGTAGTCACGCGCGAGCTTTTGATACTCCGACGTGACTTCAGCTTTACAGACGCTGCTGTTGTGCCTCGCAGTCGACACACACTGTAACACAACCCGCGCCAGAGAGTTTTGTTTAGTAGAGTTGATAAAGTTAGAGCATAGTGATACCGATCTATCTCACCACAATACCTAAGTCATGTCGCCTTAGATCAGCTCGGAAATATACCACAAATCACTGAGTGGTTTTTTGACGAATAAAACACTGTGCCTAGGTCAACTTGGAGCCTCAGATTGTTGCCCGAACCGGCACTTAGATCCTCTTCTGCAACATCTACGAAATAATTTATCACTATCGGAAGACAGGCAGTATTGACTGAGTCCAATTCCTGGCCTTAGGCCTCGGGACGTGCACGGATT